TGCTTGTAGTTGTGGTTTGCTATTACACGATAAGCTTTATTTTCTACCTGAAAATTTAATGATATTTTCCAAAAGAAGTTGTTCTGCAATAGAAACCTAAGTTTCAAATCCCAAATCTTAAAATTGATAAAATGATTTCCCCTCCATTCTAACAAAGTAAATGCCTGGGTAAAAGTAATTTATTGGGATTTAACAAAACAAATTCAGACAACTTTAGACTACATATAAAATTTTACAGGGACTTATAAAACCCCACTTTAGAGTTATTTTAAGCTACGGGAAAGACTCTATGATATGTCGCTTTGATGACTGAAGTGCACTGACTCAAGCCGTGCCCTCGTTTGTAGCCTCACATGAATGAGAACGTTGGACGGTGAAAAAAGGAGACCGAAGAAGGACGGAGGCCCTTCAACTGTGAGGTTGCAAAGAAATATGGACCATGGCAAGCAACAGTCTTTGAAGAAATGCAACCAAAGTCCTCCTGAGAGCTGAGGGTGCTGATTGTACATGCCATGAGGAAATAGTTGAGAGAAAAGGAGACCACGTTTGTTAAGGAGAGGGCCCGTGGGATGAGGGAAAGCGCCCATGAATCTACACAACAACCCACACCCACACCCAGTCACGGAGACGACACAGGTCATTCTGTCAGCATATGGTCACTGTGCAGTGGAGCTGCCTCAAGGGCAACCAATTAGCAGCCGCGGCAGCAGCAAACCTTGTTATGAAGTCTGCCGTTCCCACGGCCCGGTATGCCCTGTGCTCAGGAGCCACATCACGCTTGCTTATCGCTCCTCTCCATGCCCACACAGCAACTGGCATGTACTAACGAGACGCTGAAGAAATAGATGCAAGGAGAGGCGTGAACATAGCAAATGGAACAAGTCCAAGTTCACTCTAGGGTTTGGGATTCTTCCACGGGGAAGCATATATTTGTGTGGATCCACCATTCTTTTTTTCCCCCCAGTCCATTTTATGAGGCGTCACGTTCCACAGCCCAGTTACATCAGCAGTATGGTGCAGTTGCTACCACATCAGTTTCAAAACATTTCTTCTTTCCTCATCTCCTGGATATCAACTCCCTTTACTGTCCCCCTACCTCCCCTGCTGGAGCCCCCAGAACCTTATTCTAATGGTTGTCTCTGCAGGTTCATCAATCCTATGTTCCATCAGCCAGAAAACAGACAAACACATAACAAAGATTCATGAAGGTCACCCACAATGACAACATGCTTCAGAGATAAACCCCAATACGAAACACAAAAGAACACACATACACACACACACACACACACACACACACACACACACACACAGAGAAAATAGTGACAACCAGATCAAGCCCAAAATGTATTAAGGGCAGATCAAGTAATAAAGTTTTAACCGCTCAAGTCAGGTTTATCATTTAAATCTGCTATAGTCATCTCTCCAGTACTCTGTTTAGTCACCAGTTTATTCCTACCCTGCAATTATGGTTAGAAAGACATCACCAGACCAATCACAAGGATCACCTAGAACCCCCTCCCAGGGGGACGAACAACGGAAAAGTGTGTGAGGGTGATGGAGGACGACGTAAGCTCTGAAAATAATAATCTATAACTTCTCAAGTGTTTGTGAGGGAGGGAGGGCAGGGATGAAAGGGGAAGAAATGGGGAGCAGATCTCAGGGGCTCAAGTGGGAAGAGAGTGCTTTGAAAAGGATGATGGCGGCATATGTGCAAATGTGCTTGGCACACTGGATGAATGTATGGATTGTGATAAGAGATGTCAGAGCCCCCAATAAAAGTATTTAATAAAAAAAGAGAAAGAACGAAAGACATCACTGGAGGATATACTTAGCAAATGTATTTTGTCATCCATAGCCTTCTGCAAATGCTCTTGTCTAAATGATGAGGCAATGGCTCCTGGGTTACTGTTTAGCACGTGGTTGTCTGCAGCTGGTTTTTCCCAAAACATTCTGGGAATGAGCCGGGCAAAATTAAGGCCTTCTGTTGCCTTACTTTAAATCAGTGACACAAAGGATCATCCAGCAGCTCACCCAAAGATCCATTTCTGGTGTCACCTTCCTAGAGCGGGGCATCTGAGGGCCCTGCCTGGCCACCTGCCATTCTGAGGCTATGGATGAGGAAAGGAGAAATTGGCTTAACTTTTTTTCAACCAACTCGAGATTTGACTCCACAACTTAAGACACCACTTTGGTTTACCAAGGAGCGGGGTCACAGTCCCTCTTCAGTCCTGTCTGCTGTTCTCCCAGAGGGAAGCGCTGCATCTGAGCCCCCTGACACCCACTGACACCTGCATTGTCTAACCTTGTGCACCCAGGGGTCTGAATTTGTAGGAATAGGTGTGTGGTGTCTGCTGTGGTACTTTTAACCTGGTTTATGCATGCCTAGCAGTTCTGGTGGGGTCGTGGCTCCATGTTGCAATCCGCAAGGTCAGCAGTTCGAAACCACCAGCTGATCCTCAGGAGAAAGACAGGGTTCCACTCTCATAAACAGTTACAGCCTTAGAGACCCACAGGGGAGGTTCTGCCTGTCCCATCGGGTCGCTGTGAGTCAGCATAGACTCCAAGGCAGTGAGCTTGAGTTACTGTGGAGCATTTCCTTGTTCCTTGTGAGCTTTGTCTACGGTATACGGACGCAGTGCGGCCCTTCCTCTGCACACCCACCAGATTCTGTATCAAGGGGTCACTTTTGTTGGACCCTTCTTTAGATAGCAGTTACAAGAATAGTTAAAAACAGCTGTGGAGAAACATTAAAAGGAGCATATAGATTTTTCAAGTAGCATCAGATAAAAACGATCTTTGCTTATTTAATTTAATTAACTTATTTATTTATTGTCTCATCACAATAATTTGTAAATTTGTGGAAAAATCCTTAGGAACCAAGATAGAATCTACATAAATTAATACAATGATAACTTAAGTCAGTCAGGCAATAGTAGGAGAGTCTCAAAGCAATTTTTGAGTTCTCCATTAAAATGTTTTTCTTTTGTTTTAATCATACAACTCTTATCACAATCCATACAGACATCCATTGTGTCAAGCACATGTGTACATTTGTTGCCCTAATCATTCTCAAAACATTTGCTTTCTACTTGAGCCCTTGGTATCAGCTCCTCAAACTCCCCTCCCTCATAAACCTTTGATAATTTATAAATTATTATTATTATTAAAACTATCTTTCTATTGTATATTCTTTTCTTCCTCCGAAAAATAAATATTACAAACAATCAGAGTGATGCAAATGAGGGGGGGCAGAATGGAGACCCAAAGACCATCTGTAGACAATTGGACATCCCCTCACAGAAAGGTCACAAAGAAGGAATGAGTCAGTCAGGGTGCAGTATAGCACCGATGAAACACACAACATTCCTCTAGTTCTCTAATGCTTCCTCCCCCCAACTTTCATGATTCCAGTTCTACCTTACAAATCCGGCTAGACCAGAGCATATACACTGGTATAGATAAGAGCTCTCAACACAGGGAATCCAGGACAGATAAACTCCTCAGGAACAATAATGGGAGTAGTGATACCATGAGGGTAGGGGGGTGGTTGGGGGAGAAAAGGGGAACTGATCACAATGATCGACATATAACACACACACACACACACACACACACACACACACACACACACACACACAGAGCCAGGGTGATGAACAACAGAAACATGGGTGAAGGGAGACACCAGACAATGTAAGATATGAAAATAGTAATAACGTATAATTCATTAAGGGTTTATGAGGGTGGGAGGATGGGGGAGGGAGGAAAAAAATGAGGAGCTGATACCAAGGGCTCAAGTAGAAAGAAAATGTTTTGATAATGATGATGCAACATATGTACAAATGTGCTTGAGTCATGGATGTATGGATTGTGATTAGAGTTGTAAGGGCCCTCAATAAAATCATTTAAGAAAAAGAAATATATTCTAGATCTGTCCTTTCTTTATTTCAGTCTGAAAATGGGAATGAATTAAATGTAAGTGCACTAATCAGAATTAATATCAACTTAACATAACGATCAGAATAAATATAAACGTAAAATAACTGGCAAATAAATAAATAAATAACCCTTGTTTTCCTAGTGAGCCTAATTTTAATAGACTGAAGTATCTGATGTCTTTGAAAAATCATACAAATTGAGCGATAAGGAAATCATTATTGTCCAATGATCTGAAGCCGCTTGGGGAAGGAACACTGTGAACTTTGTTCTCGTAACAAAGGGAAAGACTGTCTTCCCTCACCCAGTCAGGGCACCCTTGAAACGAGGAAGTGTGGGTGGCCTCTGGCTGACTTGCTGCTGTAGACCATGTAGGGCAGACGGCTGTTATTTTAGCCCAAGGTCAACAAACCATGGCCCAGAAGCCTAATCGGGATGTTGTCTGGGTCTGTATGGCCCACAAACGAAGAATGGTACATTTTTTTAACCAGTTGAGAAAAAAATAGAAACAATATTAATATTTGGAGTTAGAAAGCCTATATAAAATTCACATTTCAGTGCATAATAAAGTTTGATTGGAGCACAGCCATGCTTACTAGTTGATACATTGTGGGCGGCTGCTCTTTTCCTATATGGGCAGAGGTGTGCAATGCTCACAGAGACCATGTAGCTAAGAAGTAAAACATGTTCATTATATGCTCTTCACAGAACAAGTCAGCCAGTCCCTGCTTTTACTTAATAGATGCTATCACGCAAATCCTCCGTTTGTTTAAGAAGTTTGCCTCCCCAAGACTTCCTATGTCAGGGCCCAAAGGAATGATGCCCCAGGAATGTTCCATTCAAAAAGCTGGTCCAGGAGCTTAAAGCTCTTGCTCTGAGACTGAAACCAGAAAACCTTAGTTACCTCTCCAACGTGACTCACCCTACCACCCCATCCTGAGTGGCGATGAAGAACAGCCACCGTGCTCAGTGAGTCAAAGGGCACTCACTGATGGTTTTGTGTTGGATGCTGTTCCTGTCACCTTACCCAATGAGCGTCATTGTAGTAGGAAACAAAAGCACACCTGGAAGGGTTTGTGCCACCACAGGCCCAGCAAGTTCAGACGGCTTCCCGACACCTGCCTGGTTTATGGCACGGACACGGAAGACGTAGCTGCCACCCTCCTTGAGGCCTTGCACCTGGAAGAAGTAGGCAGAGCGGCAGTGGGCATGTCTTTGAAACAGCAAGGCTTTCCCATTGTGACATTGTTTTAGTGGTCTGACCTTTAGACTGTTTCTTTCCCTTCTGGGTCATTTGTAAGGGGTAGCTGAGGGCGTCTAAAATTCCTTCCAAGTCTTTTAAGAGCTAATTTAATGGCCAGTAACATCAAAAGGCAAGGACGAGTTTAAAGGCGTTATCCACCTTATTCAAAAAGGCAGCATACAAAATACTCATGATAGCATCACTTTTGCCTTTTGGGGGGTTGTTTCTTTTAATACATTCCATAAATAATTTCAGATAAAATTCTTGGCAAGAAGGAAGAAGTCAAACCACGCATCACTGATGCTCCCCAGTTTGCTTAAAAAGTGTGTGAGGGCACAAGAACAGAACCCAAAACTGTCCTGTAAATTTGACATAGTTATCTCTCCTTAAACAGGAAACAATTGATTTAGTTATGACTTTAAGTGATTTATAAATAATCAAAATGTAGAAAAATCTGTAACCCAAGGGCTTACCATGAACCAGGTGCAATGGGGGTGGGTCTATCTATGAAGACTAACTTTGAAGTGGGTCTATCATTATGTATATACATAATGATAATATATAGACTGTATTTATAATATATATGATGATAGCCCCTTCATAGTTTGTCTGTGTGTGACTTTGAGTTCAGCAAGTCTCATTATTATATTAAATCTTGTTAATGTTCTATAAAAATGAAACTTTCTTTTTCAAACAGGCGACTTTCAAAAGCCACATTGTGTTTGAAGAAGGAGTTTACTACACAGAGAGGGCATATTCCCCATGATATTGTGATGGAGATCAGTAAGACTTATTTATCCAAACGGCTTAAATCAAACAATGCTAGAATTGAATATATTCATTCAATTAAGGGGAGTGCTTATGACAGCAGATTTAAGAGCTATGTATCAGCAGTTAAAGATGGACTTGTGCGAACGATATAAAAATATCCCCCTCAAGAAGAGTAAAAACAGTCACCCTTTGAAATGGGAAGCAGTAGGGTCTTAAGACTAATGGTCATTTGAGGTGGATCAGATCCGGCAATCAGGGAAAGAAGCGAGAAAAGGGAGCCGGTAGATGCTTTTCCAAAGCGAGGCTAAGGAAGTCAGGTTAAATATACCAAAGTGCTTTAAGCAGCAGACACGTCCCGCAATCCCCATCCCGAAATGGAATTTTACCAAGGGCCCCATATGAAACAGAGCAATACAGTGGTGTCCTGCATTGTCCGGCAAACTCTAAAGCTAATGTTCTGAGTAGGGCAGTTCTCGGTAAAGATAGCTTTAAACCGATGAGCGCCCTCTTACCTTCAGGTACTTGTTTTTGGTAGCTGCCTCATTGAGTCCTCGCCATTTGTCATCTTTGGCATTGGCCTCCTTCAAGTCCACAAAGTAACCAGTCACTGGTGTCCGCCCAGAGTGGATGGGAGGCTTCCACTGGAGCACCAGGGAGTTCTTCCGCACTTCACTGTACTTGAGATTTTGAGGAGGTCCTGGAAGAGGGAAGCCCAGGAGAAGGAAGTACGATGTGACAAGAATCCTCAAGTAGGAGTCCACTTAGAGCCACACCTGTGAATGACCTGAAGGCTGCACCTGGTACTTAGGCTCTCTTGTCTTGGACGCTAGCATTCCCATGGAAAGGGCTGGTTTGGGGTCTTTCTCCATCCCTCTATGGCATCCTTCTATTGAGTGGGTAAGGTCAGTGCAAGGAAGTGCTCAGTACTGAGTTTCAAGTATGTGGGCTCTTCTCACGCCTGCAAATTTCCCTGGATCAAAACCTTTCATCAGAACTATTTGATTTAGTGACAGATTCCGTTTCAGTTGATTTTTGCATAGGAATCTGAGCATTCCCCCAAGTCTCAATGAGCAGGAAGAAAACTCTATTGGATGGCATGTGAATGCAAAGAGTAATACTTCTTTCAAAGGGAAAAAAAAGGGTGTGTGTGTGAAATATATTACAAAACATCTTCCAATTGGGGGAACATATTTCCCCGAAAACAAGTATTTGATATATGGGTACAAACAAATGAACGGGTATGGTTTGCAATGAACTTTTGCCAAAATAAATAGAACCAAGCCTGTGGGGCTTGAAGGCTGTAGTAACCATGATCAGTTACTTTACATTCTTTTTTTGTCTTCTAATTTTTCTATTATGGATTTATTTATTTTTAATCGTTTTATTAGGGGCTCATACAACTCTTATCACAATCCATACATACATCAATTGTGTAAAGCACATTTGTACATTCATTGCCCTCATCATTCTCAAAACATTTGCTCTCCACCTAAGGCCCTGGCATCAGCTCCTCATTCTTCCCCTCCCTCCCCCCTCCCTTATGAACCATTGATAATTTATAAATTATTATTTTGTCATATCATGCCCTGTCTGACGTCTCCCTTCACCCACTTTTTTATTGTCCGTCCACCAGGGAGGAGGTCACATGTAGATCCTCGTAATCGGTTCCCTCTTTTCAATCCACCCTCCCTCCACTCTCCAAGTATCGCCACTCACACCACTGGTCCTGAAGGAGTCATCCGCCCTGGATTCCCTGTGTTTCCAGTTCCTATCTGTACCAGTGCACATCCTCTGGTCTTGCCAGACTTGCAAGGTAGAGCTGGGATCATGATAGTGGGGGCATCGGGGGTAGGAAGCATTTAGGAACTACTTTACATTCATATATCACCTTCATCTTGAAAACAATTAAGAGACACTAAGTGCCTTGATAAGCCTCTAGGGAGAATGTCAGATTGTGCACGCTCTGTGCATACTCTTTGCGCTCTTGGGAGAGCCCTAATCTCTCCTTGCATGACCACCAACTTCTATGAAGGTGACACATTTATTTATTTATCTATCCCTTTTTCTTTAAAAAAAAAAAAAAGGCAACTAATTTCTAACCAATTACACTCCCGGGAAAGTAAACTCCAAACACAGTCGCACTCTCCTTTTTCCTCTGGTGTTTGTGATGGATAGGTCAATTTTGCTTGACCCTTTAACTTGTCAAAATGTTAGGCTTTACAACACATATTTTGGGGGACATCATTTAATCCGAAATATTCCTCCCTTTGTCCCTCCAAAATTCATAACCTCGCCACATGCAAAACATCCCCCCATCCCACCATTCCCAAAGTTTTAAACCAACTCCAAGGACAAGACCGTATCTCCCAAACTGGGGCAAAGTTCCTTTTTATCCATGAGCCTGTGCAATCTAGAGCACAAGTTACCTGTTTCCCAAATACCATGGGATCAGGGGCACAAGGTCGACATTTCCATTTGTAGTAAACGGGAGACACTGGAGGGAAAGATGGGATAATGGGCAACAAGCAAGACCCCAAACCAGTTGAACCAATTCCATTAGCTCTCCAAGCTGGAAAATCATCCTGTTCTTTGAGACCATCTGGGCAAGGGCCAGACCTAGCTCGTTGGCTTTTTCCTGTGTTCACACAGACAAGAGGCAGACGGCGTGCTTGCCTGGCTTTGTTCTCTTCCTCTGGACCATTCAGTCTAAGCAAATGCACCTGCTGCTGTGGTATTTAGTTAGAGCCATAGGTCACAGACTTCATTTTTTCAACAAAAGATGGCGTGACCGTGTCCTGAGTGAAAAGCCCAGGATGCGTCTTATTTGTACAACTAATGTTTCCAAATCTTGAATGAAGGGTATGAGTCACTCTTGTACTCTCACTGCGTCTGGTGTGTTCGTTGGTTTGCACAATACCTTCAACGTTCATGGCCTGATTGGGTTTGCTAAGAGTTTTTGTAACCACTGTTCTGTGTCATCCTCAGAACCCTGTTATGTTATCCAGAGAGTCGCCACCCTTACTTTATAGAGGAGGATCTATGCTCTGTGGTTTCTTACTATTTAATGTTATTTTAAAACCATTTTAGGAGAATAGCACCGATGAAACACAGTATTTCTCTAGTTCTTTGAGACTTCCTCAAGCCTCACTATCATGACCCCAGTCCTGCCTTTCAGTTCTGGCCAAACCAGAACATGTACACAGGTACAGATAAGAGCTCAGGACACAGGGAATCCAGGTCAGACAAACCCTCAGGAACAGAAGTGGGAGTAGGGATACCAGGAGGGTAGAGGGAAGGGGAGGGGAGGAGGGGAGGAAGAGGAACCGATTGCAATGAGCGACAAATAATCCCCTTCCCCCTACAGGGGTATGAACAACAGAAATGTGGGTGAAGGGAGACAGTGGTCAGTGTACGATATGAAAACAATAATAGTTTATAATTTATAAATAGGTCTTGAGGGTGGGAGGGTGGCGGGAGGGAGGGGAAAAAAGGAGCTGATATCAAGGGCTCAAATAGAAAATAAATATTTAGAAAGTGATGATAGCAACATATGTGCAAATATGGTTGATACAATTGATGAATGGATTGTTATAAGAGCTGTAAGAGCCCTCAATAAAATGATCTTCAATTTTTTTTTTAGCTTACCCAAGATCTATGAGAAGTCTTTGTCCGTAAAAGTTGTCTTTATAGCACTTTAGTTTCATACCTTCCTTCTACTGGGAGACATTCTGCACTCTTGTTCTGAGATATGGGTTCTATGATTTACCTGGAACAGCAATTGTCCACTCTTCACAAGTAAAGGATTCACTTGCTGCTGAGAATTCTCCTAGTCCAGCCATATTCATGGCAGCCACTTGGAACTGATACACCATGTTCTCCTTCAAATTGCTAATCTGCAACACAGACAACATCACAGACAGTGAATATTTCTGTTTTCTTTACTGTAGGTGTTCAATATTTATTTACTTCCGGTAAATATGTATTTACCTCTGGTAACACCAATAACACACACCATTTCTGAATCTCGTCCCATTGAGTGTGGATGAAATTTGTAAGCTACTTTTAACCAACAGCGTGTGGCACATTGCTACCATGCTGACCGTGGTGTGCTCTGTGACAAAGGAGAAGGGCGATGGGAAATGGAACCTAATCAAACAATTTTACATCCACCAAAAGACAGACTATCCAGGGTGGACCTGCCTTATCAAATACAGACTATTAAAAGATAGTCTGGGCCTTTCCTGACAAGAGACACGTTTCTGATGGTCCGGAGGAAGTCAAAGACCATGCTGTGAACTGACTGACCGTGGAGAAGGGCCGTCTCGTAGATCTTAGCTCACCAGTAAAGCTGCAAGCAACCGAATTTTACCAACAACCTGAGGGAGCTCAGAAGGATCCAAGCTCAACTTGGCCGCCAACGAGACTGAGCAGAGTATCCAGCTAAGCCATGTGGAGACTCCTGATAAGTAGAATGGTCAGAGATGTATGGTTGTCTTAAGCCACTAAGCGTTTGGTAATATGTTGTGCAAATACAAAAGAAAATGTATAAATAGCCAGATGAAAATTCCGTGAATTCTAAGCTAGAAATAAAAGTATTCAAATCTGTCATGTTCCTGTTCTTTACTGTGACCTATTTTTTTAAAACAGCATATAATTTACATAGTATACACATTCAATCATATCAAGGAAAATTGTACAATCATTACCATGTCATTTTTAGGACCCCCC